AAATCAAATAACTCTCGAATTTTACTGAAACTTGTTCATCAGGACCTCATTCACAAATGTTTTTGAAATGTTTCTTTTTTAGAAAACCTTGGTAATTTTTCTTTTACAATTTCTTTTCAGATTTTATGTAATTTCAAGAAATTCTTTTTTGTAGTACTTAATGTTTATATTAGTCATAAGGATAAGTCCTAGGAGAATTTAAATCATCAAATCTTTTTGGTCAATTACAGAAAATCTGCTAAAACGTAAGTAAAAAGTAAGTTATAATTCAGATTAATCAAATTTTAAATCAGTTAATCTTCCTCAAATACAGTTTGCGAAAAGTATATTTAATTTTTTAAAGATTTTTTTTTAATAAAGATTATGTTATTTTTATAGATTTCACAATATGGACGATTTTAGCTAATTAAAAAAATATTCTAATCAATTTAAATTTGGTTTGAAATAGAGCAAAGTATTTTGCTTATTGTAAATATTAACTTTAATCTATTAGCTGGCAATTAATACAAAAATAAAAGCTTCAAATTTTTTTTTCATTTTTAAAATGCCTTTTAAACCTCAGGTATCAACACCTATATTAAATTTACAATTGAATTCTGCTCTGATTCAAACGCCCTACACACACACACACACACACACACACATATATATATATATATATATATATATATATATATATATATATATATATATATATATATATGTATGTATGTATGTATGTATGTATGTATGTATACAAGCAATTAGATAACTGGAGGCATGACGTTGGCTAAGCAGTTAACAGCATGAAAAACGGAATCTGCTGGCTGAGTTCAAATTCTGCTTGTAGTTCATTTCAATCTAATGGACCTGGGAAAGTTATAAATCTATCTAGGGTACCAAGCGCTGTACAACCGATGATATATTATTTGGAGATTAGTACAAACTGAGTAGCCCAAGAAGTACCCTGAATGACCTAGCAAGCATATACTGACAATACCCTACTAGTTCATAGTATACTATGATTTGTAGTTATTTACTAAATTTAAATACCTAAGGTATCCCACAGAAAGATGCTTTCATTTTATAGAAACGTTGTATCACGCCGTTCTTACAAGTAGGGAGAGCCAGACTTAACCATTAGTATTCGAAATTATTACATTAGTTCAAATACTAAAAACGAATGGAAATACGCAACTATTTTAACCAATAAACCAGATGCGGAAAAGGGAATAATTTACATCTCACATTTTTGCGTTGTTTGGATTTGCGATCGTAAAGATGTGCAAGTGGTGTAAGGAGAAGCGACTTAGAATGAGAACCGAGTTCGAATTCCAGTCGGGTTCGTTACATTCACTGACGCGCAAATACCTTTGGGAAAGATATGAAATTATCTCGTCCCCTAGCTATGGGTTAAATAGTAGGACTTGTATCTGTGAAAAATTATTGTTATTCTTAGAAAAAATTGTTAATACAATATACAATCGCAAAAAAGAATAGTTCTTCCAATCCAAAATATATTTCGACTTTAAACTACTAAAAGGGTTGATAAGCTGTTTTTAAAAAAAAGTAACAATCCCTATCGTATAGTATTTTGACACAAAGTGTTACCATAAAAAAAGCAACAATGACAAGATGTGGTTGAATAATAATCGTGAAAATGCTTCATCTTTTTTTAATACTGATATTATTGTAAATAATTGATTGAATAATGACAGTATTTCATATCAGAACTAAAACGTTTTCAGCTCGTCAGATACGCCATTGCTCATTGTTCTACCGATATGTCTACGTATTACAGATTTTACAAGTATTAACTTTCCCATATGGCCAAACGTAAATGTATCCTGCTCATACCAACATAAAGAATAAAGAAACCATGATACATGTTCGTGGCTGTGGTGATAAAAGCTAAACAGTAGACGAAGTGATGTCCGATTTAAACTGTTCTATTTGTTATTTGTACTGCAAATGAGAAAGTGTGCTTATTTGTACGCACAGTGTGTAGATTTGTAGGCCCCTGCCTGTACAACTCGGTTAAGGAGCCAGACGCGATATACGCTACCTCAGCTATAGCCTCCTCCCACGCCGAAGAGACCCACCCATTTCCCGCCAATTTTGCTCTAGGCGACGCGATGACAGGGCTTGGTAAAAAAAAGAAGAGGGGGCAAAAGAGCGGGTCGAGTGAAACAAACGCGCCAGCTCTTCAGTCGCCTGAGAAGTTCGTCTTTGTCAGCCCATCACGGTAAGGACACCCTACGGGTTATTACATTCCTAATACGTCTGAAGGATTTGGGCTCACAGACCAGCTCCATTCCGTGTTAGGTACGCGCCAGTTCCCACACACTGGGGACCTGCTCGCGCTGAGGACTCGGTCCGTCCGGTGGACCTTAGCGACACGCAAGAAAACAGGCACAAAGACAGATGGAGAAACAAAACTTCAAAAAAACAAAAGTAAAAGAATATAATGAACATTATAATCAAGCAAGAAAAAAATTAAGCGTGGGATTTTCCCTTTTATTTGTTAGTGGGAACACTTGCTTCGCAGAGACAGGTAGTCCCGGAAATTTGTAATTTGGACTGGGCTATGGGTCAGTCACTCTTAGGATTGTAATCTATAACGTTTATTTTTCAATTATTATTCAAATATAGGTACTGCAGCATATACATCGCTGAATACATTATCTATCTCTGTCTCTCTGTCTCTCTCTCTCTCTCTCTCTCTCTCACTCCCCCCCTCCCTCTCTCCCTCCCTCTCTCTCTCTCTCTCTCTCTCTCTCTCTCTCATATATATATATAATTCTCATAAAGGCTAGTAATATCGTCAGCTATTACTAGAGCGCCCCGGGCTGAAACCATGCCTGACTGTAAGGCTGCCATCTAATAAAACCCATGTTAGTGTTAGTGTGGCCGTTTTCAATAAAGTGATTGTATGTATAATATACAAGATGGTACTGAAAAGGTTTTACCCAAACCCACATCTCAAAATCAGTATTTTAATGCGTTGTCATTAAAATGTTGATTTTCTGAAGTCGGACTGTCGAGAGGTTTTCAATGCTCCTTTGTACACAGGTTGCGTCAGGTATTTGAGAAAACATTTTGTGTCAGCCATAAATGGAAGACGACCTAATGTAATGTTATACAGCATTCGCCAAATTTTAACATTCTCATTTCTCTTTAAGATGAGCATTAACATGACCACTTTCAATATGCCACAGGAAGTAAAAAACTCGCCGTATTCATGGTTTGATAAAGTCAAATTGGTAGTTAATCTAAAAAATGACCTACAATCTGTTGCTAACTGGGGCAAGAAATAGCTTGTTAATTTTGACGCCTCCCAAACGAAATATCTCTTTTAATCATATTAGAGAATATTTTTACCTTCACTCAGCATGGCTGGTGCTAACCTCAAGGAGAGTGATTCATTGTGTCTTCTCGGAATAACGTTTTCCGTTGACATGAAGTGGATAGATTATATTGAATCAATGGCTAAGATTGCTGTTATGAAAGTTCGTTCACTTTGCCGTGTTAAAAAATCATCTATCTTACACATAAGTCTGTCATTCGTCTATGCATTGAATATTGCTGTCACATCTGATCTGATGCTCCTGTTATGTATTTAGAGATGCTTGATAAAATCCCAAAAAGAATCTGCAATGTTATCGGTCCTGACCTGGCATCTCGGCTTCAGTCACTTGCCCACTATTGTAATGTAGCTTCCCTGTGCCTTTTCTATAAATATTTAATATTTGGTAATTGTTCTTTTGTACCAAGACTTTACGAATTTAAGATAAATACTAGATTGGCAGATAGGTCTCAGATAGGCTAATAGTTTCTTCTCTTACACTTCTCGCTTGCGGAACTCTTTCCCGGCTTCCTAGTTAATATTTATCTTCAAAAGTTTAAGTGCAATGCCAATCGTTATCTTCTGTCTTCTCAAGTCCTGTTCTTTTATTACTCTCTCTCTCTCTCTCTCTCTCTCTCTCTCTCTCTCTCTCTCTCTCTCTCTCTCTCCTAAATAATGTTATCTTTTTCATTCTTTCACACTCAGTAACCCCTTGCGTCTGATTGACTTTATTGCCTTACTTGGGGTGAAATTGTTTAAAATAACTAATCACAGTGACTTGAAAGTGACAAACCTGGTAGAAAGAATGACATGTTACCCCTCACAGAGGCTACGGAAGTACTCACGGTGATGCACACCGAGTTCACGTCATTTATAATAGTTCTGGAGCTTGTAAACAGCAAGAGTTATGTCAGACTGCTCCACAGCAACCCTAGGTCAATTCTACCGCCTACATCGAGGTGTTGTATACGGTGGTTAAGCCATGGATAGAGGGGCGTGGGTGCACGTCTTCCAGCAGGATTCTGCTCCATCTCACACGGCCCACATGACTCAGGAATGCCTGAATTAATTTTTATGATCATGACTTGCTAATAATCCTGAACTACCACGTCTGGAGCGCCGTCGAGAGAGATACTAAATAGTGGCAGCATAATATCAAGGGTTGGTTAAAGGATGCCATCGCAAACGTGATAGAGAACATCAACAAAAACCTAATTAATGTAAAAGAATCGCTTCCGTGTGTGTATCGAGGCCACATCAAGATCGTCCTTGAGATGGTTTTATTGAATTAATTTTTACTGCTTTTCTAAGTAACATGTATACTAATTATTTTGTAAATATACTGTTTGTTTGTTTGTTTTTTCTTTTCAATATCTTTGATTTTTATTAATATTGGGTCGGAAAAAAGTTCGAATTTCTCAGACAATATTTACATATTTGTACATAGATAATTTCAACCACATATTGTTCTATTTTCCGCCATCTTTCAGGTTGCTTCATGATTCCATCATCCCAAAAATTGACATCTTCTTGGGTGATGAACTGGTCTAAGTGGTTTTTACAGGTTTACCAGAGAATTAAAGTTATTTCTATTAAGGAACGAAATAAGAGGTAATCCAAAGGTGTAAGGACAGGTGAGTATGACAGCTATAGGACATTACAACCAAGGTGTGGCTTACGGCCGTATCACGTTGGAACTCTGGTTCTCGTACGATCACCGAAGTTAAGCAAAATCGAGAGTGGTCAGTACCTAGATGGGTGACTGCTTGTGAATACCAGGTTCTGTCCGCTTGGATGTGCGGGGGTGTAATAGATAACGACTCGGAATTGGAGATCGGAGTGCCGTGTTCCAATTCCAATCGAGTTCCTTATAATCACTTACTCGCAAATAAACTTGGAAAATATCCACCATTTCTCTTCCCCCAGTTATGGGTTAATTAGTAGGAACGGTCTAAGCAGATCATTATTATCTTCAAAATATTCTTACAAACTAAAAATATTTACTGGCTTTTAAATAACCTTCAAAAGGTTGATAAACCGTAAACAAAAACAAATCAATCTAGCCAGACAAACTAACCAACCAAGCTGCACCGATTTCTGCCGGTAAGGTCTGGCGTTGTCTTGGTGGAAGATGACACCTTTCCGATTGGCCGATTCAGGATACGTTTCATCGATTACTGTCTTTAATCGGCAAATTTGGACAGTAATCGTTTGAATTCAACGTCAAATTTTGTAAAAAGAACTCGCAATACACAATAATTTTCAAATCCCACCAGATACGCATTATCACTTTCTTCAGATGGAGACTGGTTTTGGAGTGGTTAATAGTAATTCGTTTCATTTTCCTCGAGACATTTTCCGCTCTACGTTGTTGTAAACAATTCATTTTTCATCGCCTGCGATCGTTCTTTTAAAAGTGGGCCGTTTTTGTTTGAGCAGAGAATTGCTAATTGAAATGCAGTCCATTAGTTTTTATTTGTTTTGTTTTTTCGTTAAATCGTGAGTCACCCAAAGAACGTAGTGATTCAAGTATCCAAGTATTCTCACTTGCCTTACAACGCTCATATGAGATATGTGGAGTATATGTATGACCTGCATTATTTTTAATCAGTGTTTCGATTTAGTCATGACCAACGACTGTTGAAACGTTCTTTGTCTTCCAGATCAAGATTGACATTTTTGAACCTAGCGAACCATTTACGAAAAATACTCTTGGCTATGGTACCATTTCTATAAACAGTATATATCTTTTATGTAGATTTAAAGAGTTTGTTCATCTCTTGAAATATATGAACATCAAATGACGAAAATGTATCTCATTTTCCCACATTTTTACTTTTAACCTAAAAACATTTAAAATTCATAAGCCACACACAAATCGTATATGAAGTCAGAATATGCATATATGCCAGAAATGTTAATCATGTATTGAAGAAACGTCACCTACTGGAAAACGCTACGAACTTTTGTCCCAAACAAATATTGTTATCTGGTGCATTTATATATATATATATATATATATATATATATATATATATATATATATATATATATAGCATTGCGTTAACCAGACATTAGGCTATTTTATTGCTTAGATACGTGTCACGTGTAATGAAGTAACAGATAATATTTAAATATGTGTGGTAAACTTTCTTGATGCTAAGTGTAAGAATATTTTCTCTTTAAAGATTTATGTTCTCGTTTTTGTTGTTGATAAGGCTGGCTTTGATGAAAAGAGAAATTATTATGAAAATATATTTATAGCAACATTACCAACTATTAGCGCACGTTTAAAAATCTACATTACATCACCATTTTTCTACAGATCCATTATTTATGAATCTAATTTATCTCTTCCGAATGCATAAAATTCAATATATATGTACAAAATACACACTAAATATACTCTAATGAAAAATTGTTCAAAATATCCTGCAGCGTCTTACTAACCTTTACATACTTTAACATACAGAATGTTTTCTTACACTAATTTGAATATTAAATGTTACTTCCTTACACGTGACACGTATCCAATCAAAACATCCTACTACTTCTTACTAACTTTTACACACTTGCGCGTCGAGAATGTTTGCCACACATATTTAAATATTATTTGTTACTTGATTACACGTGACACGTATCTAAAGCTCATTGCCTAACACAACATACCATTAATCTGCGTCTCTTTGCTTTTTATCATTTTTTTATCATATATATAGGCTGCGATAGGTAAATTATCTCCATTTAATATTTAATACGCGTTGTTTGTTTTTTATTTTGTTGACTGCACAATATAGTAGGGTCAACACGGAGGCCTACATTAAGTGCTTTGAGGAGCTAGTGCTGGCTGAAGAGGGTGGCTGCTCTATGGCATTGTGCAGAGTCCAGTTGCTAGTCATAAGGTCTATGTTTGGCAACAGGACCATACCACACAAGCAGGAGAACCCAGTCATGGCTGTCAGACAATTTCTTCGACTACATCACTCCTTACATCTGGCTACCTAACTCCTCAGACTGCAACCCTCTTGTGTGGGGCTCAACAAAACTCCTTGTAACACCAAAGATGAACTGAAGGCAAGGATTATGGCAGCATTCACAAACTTAAGAAGGGTTGCAGGAGATTCCGAAATCGGCTGAAGGCCGTGGTTTAGTTTTTTATACAATATCTCATGTATACTAATAATTTTTTTCTTTTCAGAAGAAAAATTATATATAAAAAGGTTGAATGTTCTTTTTTTGTATAAAAAACTAGATCAAAGCACCTTGTCTGTCGTATGCAATGAAATGTGCATGAAAGAAGGATTGCTGCCAAAATACACAAATATATATATATATATATATATATATATATACACTATGGAATTATATATTTCATGTGATTGAAAACGTTATTGTTTGCTTTAAAATATATATATATATATATATATATATATATATATATATATATATATATATATATATATATATATAAATATATATAATAATTATACGCAAACAATAACGTTTTCAATCACATAAAATACATAATTCTATAGTATTTTCGGGTAGGGGGAGTATAGACCGGCAGATACGCTACTTTTTCTTTCATTTTATTTTGTTTCTCCCCACCTCCTCTCTCTCTCTCTCTCTCTCTCTCTCTCTCTCTTGCGCACGCGCACGCGCTTTCTGAGAGGGGTTATTCCTTTCCTCTATCTCTTTATACCATCATTTCAACTTTGCTGCTGTATTACACCTCCCACTTGTACTCTTTTTATTTTAAACCTCTCAGTTACATTAATTTTCATCGAATCGTACTCATGTAAATACGGAGACATTTTGTAAAGGACAAGAGACATTTACCTTGGAGAAGTGATTACGAAAACTAGTTTATGATTTTTTCCATGATATTTTACTTTTTTAATCAAAGAAAATTTGCTAATAAGAAAAAACACAGTACCTTTACCATGTGTGCAACAGCCATTTAAACAATAAGCACCGCAACTGTTTATATATAAAGAAAAATGGCCGACATATCTCGCCCCCAATGACGTTGATAATGTTAATGATATGGCTGGACGCGCATTCTTCGAAATCGGTTATTATGCTCAGCCGTAAAAGACGTCTTCCATGATCAGCAACAAAACAGCATGGCGCAGTAATAAGATCAGTTTATTTATTAACCATAATCTGGAGAAAGATATCGCTGAACATTGCCCCCTGCATATTCTTTTATAGTCGCAAAACATAAATGCATGAAACAGAAACTGTCGTCTGACTCCGTTACCCACTCTTCGTTATTTCCCGCCGCGCGTGCGCTGTGCAGAGGATCAGTCGTCTGCTTCGACAGCTGGACGGTGCGAATGAAATGCTTCACTGAATTCGTCATGAAAAACGGAAGTATGGCCGTTTGGCTAAAGTATAATAATTCCGGATTGTATTTGTACAGTGTTCAGTAGCTCCTATGACTCGGGCCGTTGCGCTGGGGTTAAAGCTTTGCACAAGGTTAACACAAATGGCGTGGCTAGGGCTGTATGGTAAAATCCGGCCTAGGCGGGGTGTCGTTTATATGTCCCAGTTGTTCGAACCTGAAGTTGAAGGATCCGGGGATTTTATTATTGCTATTGTTGTTATTGTTTTATGCTGGGTTTTTTGCCCTAGTTAAATTTTGTAAGGTTAATACAGTTGTTGCCTAAACAAATTAAAAGCAGTAGAAATATATAAACAGGAAAACATACGGGATAGAGCTGATTTGCTCCGCATCCACTTCATAGCCTTTTAAGAGAAAGTTAGAAAATGTCACAATGGATAATTATAATAATTATAATCTTGCACGATGCAAAATATATTTTATGCATTTTGAATAAGTTATGAGAAACACAGAAAAATTAATATAGTTTTATCGAAAGAATTTTAGTTAAGAGTTAAATGTCATTGGGTGGCTTTAATAAGGACAGTGAGTGTGAGGTTTCTGCGAACAAGAGTAGCAAGAACGTTTTATCGAAATTTGAAAAAGATCTGTCTTTGCTAAAGAAATGAGAAATAAATCAATATATCAAGTTCAATGAGTTCCACCTGAAATTATATAAACGAACATAAGTCAGTTTTTAAATATTTACTGTTCTCGTTCAACAGAAGAAAACCGTCACTTTTGGACACGATAATCAATAGCGACGAAAAATAGATTTATTACGAGAATATGAAACAAAGGAAATCGTGGAGAATTAAGGACAACCTTCAACATCTCAATTTAAGAAGAATCAACAACAGAAAAAGTATTCTCTGTGTTTTGTGGGATTAAAAGGAAATTCTTTATTACAAATTGCAGGAATTTGGGAAAACCTGTTACAGTGCAATGTTACGTTGCATGCTGAAAAAAGAACTAAACATTTTTCTTTAGAAAACAAGTTGACGGATAATTTTTCCGAATGCCGACACCCATCTTCATTTTGCAAACACCATGCAGTAATTTGATGATGCAGTTAGGAGAGAAAGGTCTTCTACGGAAAGGTACTGAAAACTTCTCGGTCCGAATCTAAATCTTACCAAGTGAGCAAACATTCAGATTTCAGATTTTTTTTTCTTGTTTGGGTAGGGAAAAGCTTTTTGGTCGAACCGAGACTGCCTCTCCATCGTACATGCACCATATTTCATGATCTTCAAACTATCACTTGTTTTGTTCTGGCCAAAATCTTTTATCATGGAATAAACAGTTAAGCTGAATAATAAAATAGAAAGCTAAGAAAAAATTTGATGGCTGTATAAGGATACTATCTATCAGTAAAAGAAATTGTTAAAAAATTGTAGAAAT